ATGTTTCCTAACCTGATGGGTTGATAGTTCAGTGAACTCTGGTTACAAATGGGAAAGCCTTAAGGAATTGACTCACAAACTACAAATTTGCCTAGGAAGGACAAGTGTCCAGTTATATGTTCTGATTAATTTACTCATGCACAAAACCAGTGTCCCAGTGTTCAGTAGTAAGTATCCACATACCGGCCTAAGAGACTGAATTTTTATTTTAATAGTATTAATTTCACCATATCTGATTCTCTCTAATAACTCCTATTTGCTTTGCTAAAGTTTACTTAACCGTCTGTACTTCTCAAACTGTTATGGGAGGATGCGTAGTTTTTCCCCCTACTCAGTTTTGAATTACTATTAAAGTTAAATGAAATAAAAATACAGTATCTTTAAAAGTCTAGCCTTTAGTTATTGCAGCAGTATCGAATTGTCTTAAAGATTTCCAAATGGTTACTCTGAATATTACTTGGAAAGCTCTCAAACTGACACTGGTCCATCTTATATATCATGTAGACTATTCCTGAAATTTTTGCTTTCACGGAAGAGGCAGAAGTCAATGTTTGAGAATCACCACACCAGACCACGCTTATTTCTGTCACAAAGGTCTTCAAAAAAAACCTGGGCCTCACTCATTCCCTTTGATGGTTTCTAACTCCAGCCATTTCACCCATGGATGCTCTCAAACGGACAGCCATTTTTACCAAGGAGCTTACAGACTTATGTCACATAAGGAGATGATCTTCCTTTTTTCAGTTTCTCCGTTTGTGACTGTGATGGTCTTAAATAGTCTTGGTGAAATCTGAGTGATTTTTTTGAAAAGAACTTTGGTGTCACTTTATATCACCAGGATGCGCAGGGCACCCCGTGTAGAGGGACTTCAGTTTGGATGTATATGCAGGTACTGTGCTGTTCAGTACGTTTGTTTGCGAACGCATATGTCACCCTTCTGTGCAGTATGAATTGCTGCCTCTGTTACTACTATAAACGAAGCCTCTCTCTCACGATTCAGGCTACTGGCACAGTTCTAAATCTTGCTTACCTGTCCCTATTCTGCCCAAAGTAAGTGACTTAACATCACAGTCCCCAGTTTAGCAGAGACAGCTGTTCAGTACTAAAAGAGAATCTGAAAGGTTGTTCTTTTACAAGTAGCACCGGGCATCGGGGCAGGCTGCAGGGGAGAGAAAGCACATGGGATTGCTGTGCAGGCTGGGAGAGGAGAAGCAGGAGCAGGGAGACAGGAGCAGGAGGGACATGAGGTGCCTAGGTGGGGAGAGTCAACGGCTGCGGCCCTTCAGGTGCATCTTAGTCCCAGAGGCTGCCAGCCTGTGAGTCCGTCACAGACGTACGGACGTAGGTGCATGCTGCCTAGGAGGAGCCTGGAGAAGGCGGCACTGCAATCTGCCCAGACTGGGGTTTAGCTTTAGAAGCAGTCTGCAGTGAAAGGCTCCAGAACAGAGCCAACGAGAGAGGATGTGAGCTGAGAAGTGTGGAAGAGGACAGCACGTGTCCCAGAAGCCTTAAGTCCCTCATTATCATAAGCCCCGTGCGTTCACCTGGGGAATGGTCGCGGAATAATGGTCACTGAGCACTGTTGAGGCTCTCAGTGAACTTCGTTTCAGAATTTCAGGATTTAACATCCTGAAAGTCAGCGTCTTGTCAACCTTAGCAAGCCATCGTACATTTATTTCTTCACCTCTGACTTCTCATCTGTTAAACATTCACTGAACTCTACAGGCTATGGTGAAATTCAAATGAGATAATCTGTATAAAATCACAGTTTATTTTTCCATGCATCTTCTAATATTCCCTTTTGTTCCTCCTGTCCCACAGGGTAGCAGGTTATGTGAGGAAAATCAATAGCTATTAGTGACCACTTTAGACATGACTGTTGCAGGACTCCAGAATCATCAGGAGTTGCTAGGTACCCGCATCATAGGACTGTGCTGACTAGACAGTTTTAAGAGACTATTTGCTCTTTTAATCTGAAGGTCAATTTTTTTTTTTTTTTTGTCTTTTTGTCTTTTTGAGACAGTTTCACTACACAGTTCAGGCTGGCCTTGAGCTCACTTTGTAGCCCAGGCTGGCCTCAAACTCACAGCAGTCCTCCTGCCTCAGCCTACCAAGTGTTGGGATTACAGGCGTGCACCACCGTGCCCAGCCTGAAGGTCACTTTATCTGTATGATGGGGGAAGGATGTCTGTATTTGACAGTTTCCGTAAAGGTGGACACCCGCCTGTACGCACCCACATACATTGTTAAAGTGATAGAATGATAGGGAGCCTTAGAAAGAAGAATGCGTAGCAAGCAGACCTTGTTTTTTAAAATAAGAACTTAATGAAAATATCTGATGTTTCAGAGAATGATTGTGATCCAGAGGGAATTTTATATCCAAAGACTGAGGAACCACTTTTTTTGCATTGCAAAAACAGGACAGATTCCTTGTGCCTCTCGCTCTGTTGTTACATTTATCTAATCTTCACTGCTGGCACTACTGGCTCAGAGGGTGGTGGCGGGTGCTGTTCTATGGTATGCTGGCTGGAATGATGGGGCTGGTGGGGAGGGAGGCCGGGGGACTCACCATTTCCCCTGGGGTGAGTAAACTTCTGTAAAATGGAGGAACTGGTTGTACAGTCTTTAGTCCAGAAAATACCAGCTGGCTGGTATTGAGGTGCCTAGGTGGGGAGAGTCAATGGCTCTCAGAGTGGTTGAAACCAGGAAGTGAATGTGTACATAGGACTATTAACTAGAGTCTTCAGATTTTGTCAGTTTTCTCACTAAGGTCCATTTTCTTTTTTTTGTTTGTTTGTTTTTTTTTTTTTGGTTTTTCTCCAGTACCGGGAACCGAACTCACGACCTTGCGCTTGCCAGGCAGGCGCTTTGCCGCTGAGCTAAATCCCCAGCCCCTAAGGTCCTTTTTCTTGTTTAGGATCACACAGCTATGTCTTATTAATCCTGTCTTGTCTGCTACCATTCTTTAATCTTTTCTGACCTTTAGACTTTGAAGAGTGCTTCCACTGTTTTATAGAACGCTTCTCGGTGTTGGTTTGCCTGACATTTCCTCATGGTTGGGTTGAGGTATGTCTTGGTTACTTTTCTCTCATTGCTAAGACAAAATAGCCAACGCCCAAAATTAAGAAAGAAAAAGTTTATTTAGCTCACAGTTTGTGGAGGTTTCAGTCCATACTTGGTTGGCTCCCAGGAAGAGTGGCACATGGCAGAGGACAACAGTTCAAGGCGGTGGAAGACAGCAAAACAGCAAGAGTAAAAAGGAAAGAAGAGCGGGCAAGTCTCTTCCCCTCCCTTATATTGTATGCAAACTACCCGCCCAGGGCGGGTGTAGCACTCACACCCATAATCCCAAGGTTGGACCATGGATCAATCATAAACTCTACAAGCCTGCCCCATGACTGCGTGAGGCTTTAGGGGGGACATGCAGACACAAACCATAACAAGGTACATTTTGACCATAATGCTACCAAAGTTACGAGGTACCCTCTCAGCATATCCCATCAGGAAAAACAGACCATCGACATTCTTCCGCCAATGGTTTTGACTCTCGTCACTTTTTTAAGATGATGTCTGTTATATTTTACCAGTATGGAGTTATGATTTCCCCCTTTGGCATTAGTAAGTGTCTTCTCATTTGTTTGTTCGGGGCTGGAGTTTGAATCCAGGCGCCTTTTGGGTGTGAAGCACATGCCGCACCATGAGCTACGCTCCCAGGTGTGTTTGTCCTCCTGAACGGCTCTGTGTTTTCTTAGATTGATTATCAGGGTTGGGGCAAGTGTCATCCCCATAGAGTTGCAAGGAGCCTGAACTGCTGGGTCTAAAAAAGCGACACTTGGAGTCATTATTTAAGTGTTTGAATAGATTTCTCTCAATATGTGCTGAAATGGATTGCCTGACATCACATTGCAGGATTTTTAAGTCCTACCTCCAGGCAAATCTCATAGTTACTAGCAAAAATGAAAGTGTGAAATGCTTTTTAATGTATATTTAACAACACATAGTCTGATGATTGCTGATGTGAAGTCTCTGTGGACTCCCTTTGCTATCAGAGTAGGATGCTAAGAGACAACTTTTTACACATTTATTCTATCTAAACCCATCACATGTTTACTTTTCAAATATCTATGACTGTCATTTATAACAAGATCATAAAAGTCAAATACTTTTAAGTCTAACTCAAACTTTTTTTTTGCCGTCATGAACATACACCCTTTATTAAATCTTGAAATATAAAAACCAACATATAAAATGTGGAAAGCAACTGTAATGTAGATTAAAATGTAAATTTATTCAGACTTTGAATCATAGAATTACAGCCAGTTTTTAGGAAAAGTACAATTACCTTGCACAGGTGATACTTCCCCTACTATATCTTATGAAGTTGCTGACTGTTATGTTATTCTATAATACGGCCATTTGGAAAAGAAAAAATACAGCTTAGTAATGGGGGTTTAAGGGGTAATGTTACTTTATTCATCATTTTGATCAGAAATTCACATAACTCCCATTTAAAGGAATTTCTATCATTGAATCCAGTGTAATGACCACTTGGGTTGAAGAATAAATTTGGCAAACTGTACTTAATTCCTTCCTATGGTGTCACTGTTTAATAAGGACTCAGGTACCATTTTTTGCATTTATCCTGAGTGCATAGCAAGAGTTTACATCATACTAATATACTAAATAGCTACATAGTACATAGATGATTGTTAAAATAGCAATACTGAAGGCATTTACAGCCCAGAGCCCCAGTGGTCTACTTTGTTTGCTTTGACATTATTAAACTCGATCTGTTTCTCTAACTGTGACTCTAATTACTATATTTGCATGGCAGAAAAGTTTGCTCTGTGAGTTGATTTTTATTAACAGTGCTTGCATGTTGTTTTCTGCTTTCTCGGTGTTTCATGAGCAGACAGAGCACCTTTAGTTGCATCGAGTCATTATGCACAATCAATAAGTTTTTATGTTTGTCTTTGTTATTTCTTTGATGTGGCCCGTAGGATGCTGCCGGCAAGGTGCTGGACCGCTGGGCCATCATGTCTCGAGAGGAGGAGATCATCACCCTTCAGCAGTTTCTGCGGTTTGGAGAAACCAAATCCATCGTGGAGCTGATGGCAATTCAAGAGAAAGAAGGGCAGGCCGTCGCTGTACCGTCTTCAAAGACAGACTCAGATATAAGGACTTTCATTGAGAGCAACAATCGCACCAGGAGTCCCAGCCTCCTCGCTCACTTAGAGAATAGCAATCCTTCTAGCATTCACCACTTTGAAAACATCCCAAACAGCCTTGCATTTCTGCTTCCATTCCAGTATATCAATCCTGTCTCAGCCCCGCTTCTAGGGTTGCCTCCAAATGGGCTACTCTTAGAGCAACCAGGACTGAGGCTCCGGGAGCCAAGCCTTTCAACCCAGAACGAATATAATGAGAGCAGTGAATCAGAAGTATCTCCCACACCCTATAAGAACGACCAGACGCCCAATAGAAATGCCCTGACCAGCATTACGAATGTGGAGCCCAAAACTGAGCCAACGTGTGTCTCTCCCATTCAGAATTCTGCCCCAGTCAGTGATCTGACCAAAACTGAACACCCGAAAAGCTCTTTCCGGATTCACCGGATGAGGAGGATGGGGTCGGCCTCTAGGAAGGGCAGAGTGTTCTGTAATGCATGTGGGAAGACGTTCTATGACAAGGGCACCCTCAAAATTCATTATAATGCTGTTCACCTAAAGATCAAACACCGCTGCACCATCGAGGGTTGTAACATGGTCTTCAGCTCCCTCCGAAGCCGTAATCGGCACAGCGCAAACCCCAACCCACGCCTTCACATGCCTATGCTAAGAAATAATCGAGATAAAGATTTAATTCGGGCCACCTCAGGAGCTGCCACCCCTGTTATAGCAAGTACAAAATCAAATCTCACGCTCACAAGCCCTGGCCGGCCCCCCATGGGTTTTACCACTCCCCCGTTAGACCCTGTCTTACAGAACCCTCTCCCTAGCCAGCTGGTATTTTCTGGACTGAAGACTGTACAACCAGTTCCTCCATTTTACAGAAGTTTACTCACCCCAGGGGAAATGGTGAGTCCCCCGGCCTCCCTCCCCACCAGCCCCATCATTCCAGCCAGTGGTACCATAGAACAGCACCCCCCACCACCCTCTGAGCCAGTAGTGCCAGCAGTGATGATGGCCACCCACGAGCCCAGTGCCGACCTGGCACCCAAGAAAAAGCCCAGGAAGTCGAGCATGCCCGTAAAGATTGAGAAGGAAATTATTGACACCGCGGATGAGTTTGACGATGAAGACGAGGACCCCAATGATGGTGGAACTTTGGTGAACGACATGAGCCATGACAATCACTGCCACTCGCAGGAGGAGATGAGCCCCGGCATGTCTGTGAAGGACTTTTCGAAGCATAACAGGGCCCGGTGCATTTCAAGGACTGAGATACGAAGAGCCGACAGTGTGACTTCGGAGGACCCGGAGCCGGAACGGGACTACGAGAACGAGTCCGAGTCTTCAGAGCCCAAGCTGGGTGAGGAATCCATGGAAGGGGATGAGCACCTCCACGGTGAGGTGAGCGAGAAGGTGCTGATGAGCAGCGAGAGGCCTGATGAGAACCACAGCGATCCCTCTCACCAGGACGTCATCAAGGTGAAGGAGGAGTTCGCAGATCCCACCTACGACATGTTCTACATGAGCCAGTACGGACTGTACAACGGCGGGGGCGCCGGCATGGCTGCCCTGCATGAGAGTTTCGCGTCGTCTCTGAACTACGGCAGCCCCCAAAAGTTCTCCCCAGAGGGAGATCTGTGTTCCAGCCCAGACCCCAAAATTTGTTATGTGTGCAAGAAGAGTTTTAAAAGCTCCTACAGTGTGAAGCTTCACTACAGGAACGTTCACTTAAAAGAGATGCACGTCTGCACGGTGGCCGGCTGCAATGCTGCCTTCCCTTCTCGCCGAAGCAGAGACAGGTCAGTAAATCTCCATTGGCTGCTCCTGCCGAGGGAGGAGGGTGCCGGTTTCAGGCATGTTGGATTTAACGTTGAAAGATCCAACTTAGATGTTTCTGAGGCACTGTAAGGATTGTCCACAGTGACCCACGTAACTAAGCTGCCATGCTCATGAAAGATTGTTGTAGTTGGTGCTTGTTATGGTGAAGCATGCAAAGTCATATGCCATGGTACCCAATAATGCACGTCACTTTTCTCTGTGCGCTGTGTACATGTGTGTATGTGTTTCCATGCGTTTAGGTGTGAACAAGTGAAGTGCACACAATTCCCTGCCTCCCCGTTGAACCTTTATTTAGAAGCTGCATTTTCTGTCTCATTTCTATATATACATATATATATATATATACACACACATATATATGTGTATGTATGTGCGCTTTGCCTTGTGGCCTTTTAATTAAATCGATATATTATCTTCATATACACATATTTATCCAATATAGAAACAGAAATTTACGGATGGAAAGAACCATAGGTCCAGGACATCGAGACAGCCTCCATCTCCGTAGGTATAACCAGAAATGTTATCATTCCTTACATGAGTATTTAGTGTATCCTTGAATTCTTTAAGAGTCATGAAAATAGCCAAAGAAAATGAAACCAAAGTAATTGTTGATGTGGTGTGGGTTTATCTTAACTTCACAGTGTCTGAGCACATCTCTAAATGTCGTCCACCATCGGAGGTGGGCATAGAGGGGGGCGTGCATGTACTTTAGAGTCAGGGTATATGATGTACAGCCTGTCGGTGACATCACACTCCAGCTATGGAGCTATACTCTGAAACTGTTGGTTTTAAACAGAAGCAGCTGGTCCTAAACCTACTGTGTTCTTTATTAATCCTAAAGAAAGTGTAATAAAAGTGGAATGTGTCGAAGTGGTCAGTGGTGAGGTAACATGGTTATTCTTCAGTTGTGAAGATGAGCCCACCAGTAGATCATTTACATCATACCCCAGCACACCATAGGCGTCACACCAGTTAGTTCCTCTTGTTGTGTTGGATGTGGTTTTTGACTCTATGTTGTCTTTAAAGAACATTTCTAGAGAAAATCTGATTACAAAGCCAAAATGAATATATGTCAAACAAAATTAATGAGGAAATTTCCAAATAGCAACCACTCAAATTCTAGTGCTCATCAGTTGGAGAGACTTCTTTGACAAAGCAACATGTTCATGAAAGTACCACTGAAACGTAGTGGCACTGTGTTTAGATCTTTGCAGTATATTGCTTTATCTTCATATTTGAAAGACCAACCCTTTTTCAAATAAATGTTTAAAAATACATGTTTTCTTTTCTACTGACATAAGAGAGGCCCAGTCTGTGAAAAGTAAAAGCTCTAAGAAAAATGAGTCGTTTTTGTGCACAATTTAAAAAATGCTTCAAGGGGGAATCTATGCTAAAGAACGTCCCACCTCCCTTAACCTTGTTCTGTAGAAATTGGTTATAGTTACAGTTATTTAAGTTCCAAGTTATCGTTGATGGTGTTAGAATATGTTGGATAGGATAGCCATACTTTGAGTAATAAAATATACTATATCTGATCTCCCCTGAGTTTGTGAATAAGTTCTTTCAAATTTGAAGTAATGTGCTAATAATGAAATTAATGCATTAAAATTTTTAACAAAAATAATACTCATCGAAACCTGTATAAAATATTTATGGAAATGGAATATTTGAAGATAAGCCAACATTTAAGCTTTTTTGCATGAATTCCTGTCATGGTTGTAGTTCATTCCCTGAAGATGTTGCAGGTCAGAGTAGTGGAATAAATAGCTGTGGGACTGAAAGGCTATGTACGTATCCTAAGTTTGTTTTCATTTATATCAGACCGCTAGAAAACACAAGTTCTGGTGCGTTTATGTCCTAACATAAGGAGGGACTGTTGACGTACTGTTGATTTGTGTGAGGACAAACATTGATAGTGGGAATATTTCAATCTTCACTTTTATCCTAAGTAGTCCGGAGCTTAGCCAATGACCAGCCATGTCCCACTGACTAACCAGAATATTCTGGGTAAGAAGAATAGTACAGATGTGTTCAGTCATGCAGGAGATGACAGACTTCAAAAGACGGTTGAGACATTGCATTTGGGTAAAATGTCACTCATGCCTCATCTTTTTTATTTTCATTTTTAAATCTAAAAATTTGAAATTTTGCCCTCTAAAAATACACAAATCTTTGGATTCCAGCTTTAAAATTTTAAATTTTAAAACTTTAGTTTGACATTTTTTTTTTTGCAAGAAGAAAAGGGTTCGTCTTTGTTGAGTGTCTGGTGTGGATTAATGCTGTGAGGTTAGTTACCACGAAACACACAAACAGTGATGCTGTTAGGGTAGCAACCTCTCCCGTGTCTCAGCAGGCTGGGCAGTGGAACACATCTGTCCTCCTGTTTCGGCCTCTTGTCCACATTTCATTAACTCATGTCACACCTGCGAGTCAGTCTATTTGGCCGCAAAGCCTCTTGGATCACCCTTCTGATCAGACCCTCAGATTTACTTTTTCCTCTCTCATCACTTCTACTGCATTAATCGTAAGACTCCCCAGGAGCCTGTGTCACTGTTTTTTCCCCTTTTCAACTTACTATGAAGCTAAGACGCAGTTTCTACCATTTCTTGTGCCAGTAGACTTTTCCAAAGAAACTCTTCTTTGTCTTAATCCCGCTGTCCTCGAGCTCATTTCTTTCCTCTCCCCAGGGTCTCAGTTTCATCCAGCCTTGATTCCAAACACTGTCCTCCTTGTACAGATTAAGCATTTGAAAACGTTTTGGGTGGGGGCTGGCATGTGTAAAGCGAGTAGGCTGCCTGTGAGAAGGCTAACAGAATCACCCTCCTCCTCTTCCTCCTCCTCTTCCTCCTCCTCTTGCTCCTCCTGTTCTCATCTTTAGGATTGGAACACCGTAAGGGAGTTATATGCATATCCCCTTGGGCTTCTTCCGAAGTGGGTAGATGTGAAGGAGTTGGGGTTTGGGGCTTCAGATAAGCATATGAGTAAGATAGAAATGGAGATGAATCAAATACTGCACTGTGGGTTTGACAGAAAAAAATTCCCAGGTCTTTGCTTGTGGTCCTAGATTTTATAAGATCAAATTGAAGATTTTTTTAAAAAGCAACAGTGTTCTTTGCTCAAGTGACAGGAAGAGAGGCGAGACACACACAAGGTTGGTCAAGACTGAGGATTCTAAGCAACATAGTCAAAGCTATTCTTTTCTACATAGTTAGTTGTAATTGAATGTGCCTTTAGTAAGCTCCAAAGCCAAGAGGACCATTCCACACTAATGACAAAGAGCAAAAAGCCAATATACACAGTCTAATTTAGCCCAATCACTAGGTAGGTGTTAAAACAATTCTTATTCTGAATGATAGAAGTGAAAAGTAAATAATTTTCTCTGTAAAGAACTCTGATAGTCTTGATTGCCAAGTGTTCTGTATATGTTGATACGGCACTATACAATGTTAGATTTTCAGAATCCTTCTTCATTTATTCCTTAAATTTTTCTGCTGCTGAGCTACAGTTCTGCTAGGGAACAGGAAGCTGGCCCTTAGTTTTGAGTATACAACATATGAAACATTTGCTAGGAGGATGAATTAGCTGACCTGGACCTATAATCTTGGCAAGGGAAATTTTCTTGAAGGTAGTGTCATAGTCAGAATTCGCTGGCTTAGTTCACCTTTGGTTATTTATCATCCTCTGACTTCATGTTTGATCCTCAGGAAGGCTTACTGGCCCATGGATCACCTGCATTTAAGGGAAGCCAGTGTATAAGTTGCATTTGGTTTTTATTGGGGAGGGCAAATAAATTCTCTCCTCTTTCTTAACACTTTTCATCGTTTGTGAATATGTTAAAATTTACTTACATTTGTTTCAGTGATTGGCAGTTTTAAAACTCCCTTCACTAAAATGAGGACTTTGTACTCAGGAACTACATTATGTATAGAAAGACATGTCTCTGTTTTTCATCCTCCATGAATTTTGTAATCTTCATTCCTCTGTTCTCATAATAGTGGCCACTAATTACAAAGATCTGTCTTAAATTTTATCGGAAAGGTGAGCATATCTGTTTGATGTTTTCAAGGCCTAGCAAAATAATATTTGTTTAGGGCGATTTATAAATAAATATGAGGCGACCACGGGTGCCAAGTGTGAGTCTTCTCTTTGATTGCTAGCTAAATCAGTCCAGATTTAAACATGTAAACTTCTGGATTTGTACGGAGCAAGACATCTGTATTTGGTTTATTAAAACCTGGTGATATCTCCAGAACTAAATTTGTTATATATATATAGGCCCCTGGATAGCTCTACCTAAAAAGCAGAGATGTATAGTTTTTGCTTGTTATTACCTGACTTCCAGCTCTGTACAGGTGTGCAGGAATAAATTAACATGAGCTACCTCTGATGAGCCGCTGCATACATTAACAACAGAGGTGAAGATGTGAAAACACGCTACCTGCCTCCTGTTATCACCTTCTCAGTAGAGCAACATTCGTCCTCTCTGCCATTCTCTATGTTTGGCAACTTACGGAGAACTTTCTGGAGAGCGCTTTTCAATAAACACACATGATTCACCAGGCAGTACCTCCAAGAAATGAGCCACTTAGCACCAACTCAAGATAACTACTGTATTAGTATATTTGCCTAATATAATTAGCTGTCAAATATAGTGTGTTAATCCTCTCCAAGTTCAATAGGAGAACATTCTAAGGGATCATCTGTTTCATTTCCTGTTTTTTGCTTTTTCGGTCTGGTGAAACTACAGCACTGCATTTTACAGTCCTTTTAGAAAGTGAAGCTGTGCAGGTCCTCTGACTTCTGAATGTTATGGAAGAGATTGTTTTTTCCTCCTGCTACTCTGTTTGATTTCACAATAGAGCTAGCAGATCAATGGGCCTTTTGTACTTATCTTCATTACTTTCCATCGAAAGCAAACAAACAAAATAAATCCCCTCCTAAGTAATTACTGGTTGTG